CCCCTATTGCTTGAGCTTCTGCTGGGGGCAGGCAGCCATGCTGTGCTCTAGCCTCTAGGGGGCGCAGCTGCTAGTTCGAGGGACCCTCCCACTGCCCCAAGCTCCCTGCGTGGGCAGTGCTGTGAGGGGGCATGTGCTGTGACTGGCATTGCTAGCCCAGCCCCAGGCTTCCCTGAGGCACCCCGAGTTCCAGCAGTCTGGGGCGGGGACATGGGGTTGGCGTTCGTCGGCTCCGTGTGCTGTCCTAGCTCTGGGCGGGTCGCCGGTCCGGCAGACCTCCATCGAAGTGCTCAGACAGCCCACAGAGTTGGATCATTGGCAAAGGCACTCGGCCAGGTTTATCGCCAGTGCAGCCCGGTGCCAGCGCCCATAGATGCCACAAGGACACGGCCACACGTCTGCCTCTGACAATGGACCCCGACAGTTACAGACTGAGACAAACCATCCAGGATAAACAATTGACGTCCCAGCTTGTGTGTTTCACAACATACTTGTTACCCCCCTTGTGCCTTTCTCCTGCTGCTTCAGACAAAACATCCCTTATTCACCCCCTGGCTTTGTACTTTACTCCTGATGCTTCAGACAAAACATTCCCCACCCGTCAAACCATCTTATTGTGCGCTAGGCAGGGGAATCTCGTGCTGGGATGTGGTTACACAGTCACTGTGTTTTAGCAATGCCGGCAATACCAGCTGCTAAATCGCTTTGTGCTGGTCCCTGTCTGTGCCCCCTGAGGCCCCCGAGTCAGCAAAGTCATGCTACGCACTTAACTCGGCTCCAGTGGGTCTCAAATGCATGGCTGAGCTCGTGACGACAATCCCAGGCATTACAAAAAAAAATCAGATTAGCTTAGAAAATCCTGAGCTTTAGAAAGACCAATGAGCAAGGGGCAGAGTGTGGATTGAATTGAATTGAAAAGGGGCAAATTCAAAGCAGATACAAGGAAATACTCCTCCACCCGGAGCAGCAGTAGCCTCTGGAACTCACTGCTACCGCGGCCTGGAGGCTGTGAATGTGTCGAGTTTTAAAGAGGGACTGGCTGTTTCTATGGGGAACGACAATGCCTGGAGCTGTGCTAGTTAATGGACAGTAATTCCGGGAGGGAGGGAAAAGCTCCCACTTCAGGGCTTCAGATGCCCTTCGACTATTAGAGACCAGAAGGAGACCTTCATGGGGGCAGATTATCCCCTGGCTGCTGCTACGGGACTCTTACACCTTCTTCTGTAGCACCCGTCGCAGACGGGATACCGGGGTAGATGGGCCCTGGGGCTGACCCAGGCTGGCAATGCCTGTGTGTTCCTCTGTGATTGGAACCTGAGGGGGATTTCTGCCAAGTCCCAGTGTTCCCACCCCTGGGGCAACTCAGCTTCACACATGGACTCCTAAATCTCCCCAAATCTTGGCCCCATTGCGGCTTGGCCAATAGCGGCCACAGTGGCTGTTCAGGGGTCGGAAGGTCCCCTTCCCTCTGTTATGTTCATGGCACACACACACTGTTAGAAACAAAGTGTCACATCCTCTCGGTGGCAGGCTGCAGTTCAACACAGGGTTATTTCTTAGAATCCAGAGCCCCAGCACACGAGGACCCGAAACAGAGAGAGACAAAGCAGGCTGCTCCTGAAGGCAGACAGGGATAACTAACCCCACTTTGCTCTAGACTGGCTCTTTGGCAGACACACGGCTGAAAACCCCAGATCACGTTTGTCACCCGAGCCCTTGAGCCAGCAAGCAGGTCCAGGAAAGCCCCTTGCAGATATATAGTAAGAGCTTGTGATGCTAACACAGTTTTCAATACACCATATTCTCGAGTGGTCGTTCCGCTGCCAGAGCAACCTAGTGCCACCTGAGTGTAGCTGAGAATCAGGCCTTTGATTGTTAAGCTCCCAGGGGCCTGGTCGCCTGGGTCCCATCACCCAGCTCAGCACAGGTGGGTGATACAGGAATGTCTCCCTGCCAGGACTGTACAGAGCGTCCCCTCTTGTGGTGCAGATATTGATGACTGTCAGGGCCACGCAAACTGCGTCAACGTGGCTGGGAGTTACTCCTGCAGCTGCATCGATGGCTACAAACCCAGCTCTGGGAAAGCCAACTTCATGTGAGTGGGGACACCGCCAGGGTGAGCTCTCCCCTGGCCTGCACTGCACCCTGCTTAGTCCTCCCCACCCCCCCATACACACACCCCTGTGCGCATTCCAGGCCTGGTGCTGCACCAGAGGCTGCAGCAAAGGCACCGGATCCACTCATCATGGCTGTGATGCGCTGTGACCCTGAACTGCTGCCCCAGCGCGTGGGGGCCAGGATCTCCCCTGCCTCGGTGATTGGATTGAGAATAAACCCCTACGTTTGCAGGGAGGCGCTGGGGAGACTGGTGGGGCCCTCGCTGTCCCCAGCACACAGAATCCAGGCTGCTAGTGCCCCTGAGCCTGGGAAGGGGCCTCGTGGATGGTCCACATACAGCACAGTGCGCTCTGCCCCCTATGGCCCTGCGGAGCAGGGAATAGCCCCAGTGCAGGGCACCCCGGCCACACCCCCAATCTGCCCCCTCCCTCAGGGCTGGGAGCAGAGCCTACTCCAGCCCCACACTGACAGGGAGCCCCTGGGATGGGAGGGTGTTTCCCCAGGGGGCCATTATGCCCCCTTAGGCAGCCAGGGCGGCCTGACCAGAGAAGGGGCCGGGGCGTGCCAAGCCCTTGTTGGCGACGTTCAGCCGGTAGTTAGAGTTTGTATCAAGTCCCAGCTGGCCGTTCCCATGGTAACCGCCCTTTACACCCTTGTTGCAGGGCTGGGGGGGCAGAGCACCAGGCCCGTCGAACTGGGAGAACTCAGGAGCCCATTCGTTCAAACGCTTCCCCTGGCAGAGACCTCGCCCAGCCGTTCCTGTGCCCAGCCCCAGGCCGTGTGGGATAACCCCAGCCAGTGTCCTGGGGCGGGTCTAGGCACAAGAAGAAATCAGCGCCGCAGTTATCTCAGCCAGCGTCCCGGGGATTGTCCGGGGATAGCTGGTATCGGGAACCGTGCGGAGAATCCCTAGGGCTTGTCCCCGGGGGAATTGATGGCGATCGCTGTTCTCTTTGGAAGCGCACTGATTATTCCAGACCAGCATGTCCAGACGGGGAGTGATTCCACAGGAGCTGTTACTGTCAGTTTCCCTATGTACTTAATTTCCCCATGGCGGGAGGGATAGCTCAGTGGTTTGAGGATTGGCCTGCTAAACCCAGGGTTGTGAGTTCCATCCTTGAGGGGGCCATTTAGGGATCTAAGGCAAACGTCTGTCTGGGGATTGGTCGTGCTTTGAACAGGGGGTTGGACTTGATGACCTCTTGAGGTCCCTTCCAACCCTGATATTCTATGATTCTTAACCCCCTAGAGACACCCAATCTCAGAGCTCCCTGCAACTCAGAGCGAGTTTGGAAGCCGTGGGACGCCCGAGGGAGGGGAGCGCTCTGGCTGCACCACTAAGAACCTAGCGCATGGCGCCCCTTCTCCAGCAGACAGAGCGTCAGAGCTGGGAAAAGCGCTTTGGAGCAGCGGCTGTGCTGTGGCTGGATGTGTGTACAGCGCCTGGCACCACAGGGCCCCGGCTGCGGCGTTACCCCCTATAAACATCCCAATGGAACCAGGACGGGATGGATAAGGACACTGGAAGCTCCGTTCCCATCCCCCATGGACTCTTGGAAGCCTTCGGGGGCGGAACCCGATTGTATGTCGTTTCCGGAATAAAGCAGGTTCTGGAAACACGGAGCCGCCTCGGTGCTTTCAGGAGAACCCATGAGTGTTGCAGGGTCAAGGGCGGAGGATGCAGGACTTGGCAGGATGCAGCCGGTCAGTTCTTACAGGTTCAGTCTGCCCCAGGACCAGCTCAGCCTCTGAAGAGGCAAAACCGTGGCGCCGGCCAGGCTGAGACACAAGTAACGCTGGCACTTGCACAGTACAGACGGGATCAGAGCTGGGGCCCATCTAACCTGGTATCCCGGCTCCCATGGGCCAGAGCCAGATACTGCAGAGGACGGTGGAAGAGCTGGGGGATAATCTGCCTTCACTTCCTGGTCTCTAGTACTCAGCTGGGCTGAAGCCCCACAGCAGGAGGTTTTCTCTCTCTTCCCAAACATTTGTGTCCTTTAACTATGATCACTCTGGCTGTTCTCATCATCCGTAGGATTGTCCAGTCGCTCCTTGAATCTTACTAAATTTGTGGCCTCAGTGACTCTTGTGGAGGGGAGTTCCACAGGCTAATCGCACATTGCGTGAAACAGCCTTTCCTTGGCTCAGTTTCAAATTTTCCCTCTTCTAACTTCCCTGACTGGCCCTTGCTCTCGTGCTATGAGATGGGGAGAACAGAAGCTCCCCATCTCCCTTCTCTATCCCCGTCAGTCATTTATAGACTCTTAACACGTCCCCTCTT